AGGGTCTGGGTTAGTCAGGGTCTGGGCCAGTCAGGGTCTGGGTTAGTCAGGGTCTGGGTCAGTCAGGGTCTGGACCAGTCAGGGTCTGGGTTAGTTAACATCTGGTTCAATCAGCTGATCAGGTGCAGGTAAAACAAACCTTGTTCAGGTGAGGAACTCATCAGCTCTTTGATCTTTGTTTACTCTGACCTCTGACCTTTGACCCCTCCTCCTCTGCAGGTCCAGCAGCCAATCAGAGCCTCTCTGACCTTTGACCCCTCCTGCTCTGCAGGTCCAGCAGCCAATCAGAGCCTCTCTGACCTTTGACCCCTCCTCCTCTGCAGGTCCAGCAGCTAAGTCGAAGTACGTGAGCTACGGCGACGTGGTGATCTAACTCCGCCCCTTCAGGACTGGCTGCAGAGACGTCTGGTCTCCAGATCTGGTCTTTGGGATCAGGAGGGAACTGAAGGACTGGGGTTTGGTTTCAGTTTTGTTCTCGTGTGTCTCTGCTCGGTCTGGAGCGGAGACAGAACCCTGCTGGACCTGATCCGGTCTGGTTTGGGGAGGAGGTGCTGCCGGCGGTGAGGACCAACATGGCTGTGGGATCAGCTGATGGTGGAGGCCCCACTTCCTGTCCTCTCTGGAAGTTCTCAGTCCTTCCTGTCGACCCGTTTCTTGTTCTTCATGCTTTGATCTTTGGTCCAGATGGACCTCCTGAAAGGACCGGTTCTGTTTCTGTGTTTTGAAGCCATATTCTGGGACAGATCTGGGTCTGTGGTGCCGCCTGGACCGGACTGTTATCACTGAGAGGAGGCCCATAAATGGAGGATCTTTGAAAGCCTGGGGGAGCAGAGGGTCCCGTTCTGGACCCACCTGCTCCAGGTCTCTGTTGACGCTGCATGTTTCACCGGGTTTGGATCGGACTCTGAGGGACCTGCAGATCCATGATCCTCTGGGGTCTGTGCTTCATGAAAGAATGAAACAGGAAGTAGCTGTCCTGCTGTAACAGTGTTGTCTGTTTACATCCTGTCAGGTTTTTCACAATAAAAGCTTCTGTTTGCAGTGTTTCCTGTCCGTCCCACATCCATGGCCGTCTGTTTGTGGTTCTTTGTGTTTGTGACAGGTTCCAGGAGTGAAAAGGGTCTAACTGTGCCTGTTCTGCATGTGAGTCAGACCTGATGACTCAGGAGGACTGAGGGGGTCCGTTTGTCAGGGTTAGGGTCTTATTGTGAGCCTGCAGGTCTGTGACACGAAGCAGGTCTGAAACTGGGAGCTTTTCCTCTCCTGAAGCTAAAAACAACTTTTCAGAAGAAAAGATTTCAGCTGCTGAGCTGAATAAAGCTGTGAAGAGCTGAGAATCCTTTAAAGACCCGAACAGAACAAAACGCAGTAAATAAATCTTCAGGTTGTTGTGTGATGAACAGAACCGGGTCAGTTGGACCTGTTTGGTACCACAGACCTCAGGTTGGACCCGGTGGTTTAGTTGATGTTCGGCTGTTTGAGGTAAAACAACTGAAAACATGAAGACTTCCTGTCCCGACACGTGACTTCCTGTCTGTTGTAGGTTTCTGATGATGATGATGATGATGATGATGATGATGATGATGATGATGATGATGTAACAGGAGTGTACCTGGCTCCGCCCATCGTTGAACACCTGGTGATCCATGGCTGTGCAGGTTGTTAATGCATGCCTGATGTGTTTGATGTTGAAACAGAAGAAAAAAAAAACATGATCCAGACGTCTGCTCTGAAATGTCCTGTTCTCTGTTCTGACCCGGTCTGCAGATTCTGACCCGGTCTGCAGATTCTGACCCGGTCTGCAGATTCTGACCCGGTCTGCAGATTCTGACCATCACTTCTTTATTTCCTCAGAACCTGTGGGACCAGAGGAGAAGATGAGTAAATATATACAGTGGTTTGCAAAAGTATTCATACCCCTTGAACTTTTCCATAT